GCTTTGACTCTGAGGACCCTTCACAGTGTGCTGCGGAAATATCCGAGATCATCATGCTCGGAATGGACACATACATACCCCATTCTTCGAAAAGATCATCACCATCGAAACCCTGGTTCAACAAAAACTGTTCTAGAACTGTTGCCTTGAAACAAACAGCCTACCATCGCTGGCGCAAAAACCCTAACCTCGCGACTAGAGCAGAATACGTTGATGCCAGAAATAACTGCAGCCAAACAATAGATGCTTCGAAAGAAACATACAATGCCAAGATAAGATCGAAACTCATAGATTGTCCCAATGGCTCCCGTTCGTTTTGGTCCCTTGCTAAAGCGGTCGGAAGAAATTTCACTAATAGTTCATTTCCACCACTGTCCAAATCCGACGGCACATTAGCAACAACATCGCAGGAGAAAGCAAATATTTTTGCAGAGATTTTCGCAGCAAATTCTACATTAGATTCCCAAGGAAAAGTGCCGCCAGACATTCCACCCGTTGAGAGTCGAATGCCCGAAATCGTCTTCCGTCAACGCACTATCAGACGAATTTTGCTTGGTCTCAAAACGAATAAGGCTAACGGTCCTGATGGAATTCCACCCATTATCCTCAAAAAATGTGCACCAGAATTAACACCGATTCTCTGCAAGTTGTTTACCGTCTCGTACAGGTCGGGTATTTTTCCATCATGCTGGAAGACAGCTAGAGTCCAACCAATCCCCAAAAAAGGGAACAAGAACCTGCCCAACAACTACAGGCCCATCGCCCTGTTATCAGTAATCTCCAAAGTTATGGAGAAAGCCATCAACATTGAGCTCATCAAATATCTGGAGAGCTCGGGAATCATCAATGATAGACAATACGGCTTTCGCCACCGAAGATCTACTGGAGATCTACTTGCCTACGTCACCCATTTATGGCAAGCTTCATTAGAAAAACACGGGGAATCTCTAGCTGTCGCTTTGGACATATCGAAAGCATTTGACCGTGTTTGGCACGAAGGACTCCTCCACAAACTACCATCATACGGCTTACCACCTCAGCTATGCCATCTCTTATCGAGTTTTCTTTCAGGCAGATCGCTTCATGTGGTGGTGGACGGTGTATCGTCTGATACAATTGGCATCAATTCCGGCGTTCCACAAGGATCAATTTTGGCACCAACACTATTCCTTCTTCATATCAATGATCTGTTGGGAGTAACAACTTGCCCCATCCACAGCTTTGCAGATGATAGTACCCTCCATACAGCGTTCTCTTCCAGAATTCCTATTTCTTCCCAGGAAACTAAGAACACACGGCGCAGGCAGGTCAATGCTGTCAATGAAGACCTTGCTGAAATCACAGCCTGGGGAACCAACAACCTAGTTGAATTCAACGCTACCAAAACTCAAGCCTGTATTTTCTCTAGAAAGGCGGAACTCAGTATGCCCGACATTGTAATGTCTGGCACCACCATCCCCACCCAGCCCACCATATCTATGCTCGGTATTTCCATCAGCAACACTCTTTCATGGGATAATCATGTCAGATCCATCGCAAAAGCTGCTTCACAAAAACTCGGATTCTTGTTCCGTGCGAAATGCTACTTTACACCTCAACAGCTCCTCATGATCTACAAAGCGCAGATACGGCCTGTTCTAGAATACTGTTCCCACATATGGGGTTCAGCACCGAAACATACGCTGATGCTCTTAGATTCCATCCAGAGAAGAGCCATCCGCCTGGTGGGTGACGCCACACTCACTCGCTCTTTGACATCATTGGAACACCGTAGAAAGGTCGGGGACCTTTCACTTTTCTATCGATACTTCCACGGGAAATGTTCTTCGGAAATCTCTGCTATCATCCCTTCACTAGCAATACCAGTCAGACGAACTAGACAAGCCCAGTCAGCACATCTCTTCGTTGTCAACCTCGAAAGATGCCGAACAGCACTTTATCAAAACTCCTTCATCCATAGAACGGCTGGGCTCTGGAATTCATTGCCTGAGGAAGTATTCCCAACAAAATATAATCTCAAGAAGTTCAAAAAAAATTCCAATACCTACCTCCTATCCCTATCCTCCCTAGGAACGCACGATGTTCTTTGAACATTATAGGGATTCCCTCTCGTGCGCTCCAAGCGATAAAAAAAAAAAAAAAAAATTAGGTCTTCATATTTCACCTTCAGCTGTCATACAGACAGCCAGATCGAATCTGGTCTGGTCTTAATATATCTGCCTCCTAAGGAAGATGAAGGGGCTTATAGTCATGAAAAGTATAAATCCGATACTGAGCAAAGGTCACTAGGAACACATAGAATATCACTTATAGCACTCAGCAAACAACAAAGCCAGCTGCGGATAGTGATTCACACGAGACCAACGAGACGAGACTCATAAAATCTCGTCTCGTCTCGCCGATGAAATATGAAGTCTTGTCTCGTGTCTCATACGAGAGTCTCGCAAATGTATCGCAATTTCGTAATGTATAATCTTATTCCAGTCTAGTACGGGATAATTACCTCTACATACTTTTAAGGTAAAATGTAGAAGTAGGAAGAGAAAATTACAACACAAATAACATTATTTATTGAAAAGTGAGTACCTAATAGGTACATACTGACATCATACATCTGAACAAGAAAAAAAACATATCATTATATAATCGAAAGTTATAAAAACAAAAAAAAAGTAACACGTATATTCTAAACAAATAAACAAAACAAAAACTTCAATCCAACATTATTTTACTTATTTAAGAAATGGGTATCTAAGAAAAAACTGTTATCAGTCAGATCAGCCTCCACGATCACAATAGCTATTTGTGTATTTAGAGTGCAAAGTGATAGATTGCCGCTCGACAAGGTAATCTTTGGAGAGCGGCAATAACACTGTGTGCTCGATATACACACAAGATTTTTTCTACTAACGCAGCTTTTGGAAATAACTACCCTGAAAGAATGAGCGATTGAAATAGTTGAGGAAGTTCTTATCCATATTATCCCATATGTCCAAAGCAAACAAAAAAAAAAGAAAAATTGAAATAACTGACAAGCCAGAAGAAAAATGTCGGGCCTACCGAGAATTGAAACTGGACCACCAGCGTGGCAACCTGAGCTTCAGACCTCTGAGCCATAGTACGATAAGCTCTGCAATCAAATTGAACATTACTCATTGATGCAATAAAATAAAGATACACTGTCTTTCTGATGACAACAAAGAGTTTAAATATAAAGTATAATTCATCGTTTTCATCAGATATGCTTCATCGGGAGCTTCTTGTAGAAATTTGTTGGTATATTTATCTTCAGCTGTGAATGTTTTGGATTTTTCTCGCATTATATCCAATAGATTGTTTCTTGAGAATGGCGATAAGTTTCAGATACTTATTGATTCCGATATTATCTTTAACATTCAAGCATGTATACGTACCATCGAATATATAGACCAATGAGTTGATGACTTCAAAGTCTTTGATTTTTTACCAAAATAAGCCAGTTAAACGTTTTCTGAATTCATATTCACCATCTCGGAGTGGCACCAATTTATGAATGTATCATATTGTAATTCATATTTCTTCCTTGATTTCTCCGGTAAGAGATTCAAACTCTTGCGCTTTCTGCTATATCATCAGGAAGGAGGTGTGTTTGATGATTCACTGTCACTATTTTCCATCATGAAAGAATTGGGGGTTTTCAAGAATAGATAAGTATAGGTTACAGAGATGTGCGAGCTTTTTTTCAATATTTCCGCTCACGAGCGCAAATGCTGTCAAAGAATGACATTTCTGGGAAAACGTCAACTTTGTGCTGGAATTTGAAAGCGTCAAAGGCTACTTTGTTAAGCGTTTGTAGAAAAATTACGTTTTTCACCCAGTCATTCAATTTGCGATCTGTCGTCATTGCAGAATTGCCTTTATATTCTGCCGCCGTAAGAGAGAGAATAGTCCGTTTTCGTTTCACGCATTACGTCGTTTGACAACAATCATGGATTGTGTTTTTAAAGTACTTATGAATGAAATGTTTTGTCTATCTGTGCTAAATAGTCTGAATTCTTTCTAAATTTGTTGTATTTATGAATGAAATTCTCAAGTCTCGTCTCGAGTCTTATTATCTCGTGAACGAGACGAGACTATGCGAGACTCTCTAAAACGAGACTCTCGCGGGCATCACTAGCTGCGGAAAAACAGCAAGAGACTGTGGTAAAAGTGCACTTATCATGCGATGGGGTTTTTTTCGAAAATTTCTTTTGGTACTTAGTATTTTCGTCTGAAAAACACGAATTTCATAATGAGAATGTGAACAAACCACTATCCATCGAGATATTTCAAGAAAAAGTTCGAAATTTTGCCTTCTTTTCCCCCTTGTGTTGGATGCATTTACAGATACTTGCTCTTATTATTTTGTCATTGGACACTTTATATACTCATGATGTACTTCACTGACACATTTTAAGATAGAAAATTCAACAGGAAATATGATTTTTATGGCGAGTTTTTCCTATTTACTACTACTACTAAACATGGATAAATCACAAGAAAATCATATTTCTAGTTGACTCATATAATAAAAAAAAATGTGTCCAACATTGTGTGATATATATAAATTGTCCAATGATGGAAAAAGAAGGGCAAATTGTTCTAAATGTGATTCAGAAGACAGGCGGAAAAGATGGTGAAATTTGTAACTTTATAGTGAAATATCTCGATAAATAGTGGTTTGTTCACATTTTCATTATGAAATTCGTGTTTTTCAGACGAAAACACGTAAGTACCAAAAAACATGATAAGTGCACTTTTACCGATACTGTGGCCAGATGGACCTTCTAGAGCTCGATCCGAAGAACTAGAGCTGGACAATCAGTTCCAGTGGTTCCAGCTATCTACCGCTGATGTTTCCTCTATTGTGGAAAGGTGGGACGCCGACATTCAGCCGCCTCACCTCCACCTGTAACTACTGAAAACGTTCATTCCGCTATCACGCATGCCGCGAGATGATAAGAAAGAAGACTCATAATAAAATGCTCGCCATCGAGAACGGGTCCAGTGCCACTGCGAGCTTTGTCGGTGACAGGCAACCTCGATGTCTGACGTACAAAGTCCGCGTAACTCCTAGTGAGTGAACCAACTGAAAATAAAAGTATTTGTGTTCGGTAGATAGACTATTATTCGAGCTTGATCATGGATCCCTCACGTTTGAAACTGGGCTCTAAGAGGCCGAACTCGCAAAAACTGGAGCTGTTGACCATACCTGAACATGGTCACGATAGGAGCTTCTCGAATGGAGTTAGTGGGTCTATGAACATTGGATTCAGGAATATTTCTTATACGGTCAAAGAGGGGTTGTTGTTCAAAAGAAGTGAGTGATTGATTTTTGCCCCGATTTGATACAGTTATCGGCGTTTCACTACAATTTGGACAGTGATAAGATAGTGGTATATTCTGAAATGCTCTTATAGGAGACTATCAGTTTACAGCAGAGGTATCAAAATTTGTGTACCTGTACAAGAATGAAAATGCTGTTCAATGGCAAATTACTACAAATCCTAAGAACTTCAACGCACTTTTAAGTCATGCCAAGTCACCATCCTTTTTTTTTTTTAGTGTATTCATCAAACTTCCTCGTTCTTTGAAAATTTCAATCGTCATTGTCACTGAATCTTAATTATTCAAGATTCAAAACACACATTTTTGGTAGATCAACGGATGGTCAAGTCAATTCTTAGCAGTTTCTCTTTTACACATCGATATGAAATCATGAATTATGAATGAATGAATGATAATAATAAAGGTGCAGCGCCTATCGAATGTAACTTGTAAGCATATTCTTTGTTTACATCGATCAGCTGTTCTTTGTTGTGGTCCCTCTTCCATCCTGCACAGTGTTGCCAGATATGTGGAAGCTAATTCATCTCCTTGGTAGCGGGGTTTATTTTGTTTAGCTCTATTACATTGCTTGTGTTCCCTAAATCCACAACCTCTCTCATTTGAATCTTGCCCATCCAATCGAAAGTTTTCAAGAAACATTCGAAAAAGTTTACGTCTCGGTTATCAATTTTCGAGTCACTTTTCAACCCATCTACATAGGAGCAAACATTTCCAAAGGAATCTTCAGAACTGTGAAAATACAGATATTCATCAGGTTATCATACTAAACATGAATGAAAAGAAAATGGCGATTAACACTGGGGAAAAACGAATTAATAGCAAACTACATTTTTGGAGGGATTGCCATCAAATATCGATGAATCCTTTTTCTTGGAGGTCGATAATTTGTATACTGTGTGAGTGAATGATCCCAAAGTGTAGTTGTCTTACAAAGGAATAATTCTCAAAGAACTATCTTGTAGGTTTTCGAGTTTGACTGCGCTGGGTGTGAGACCTCTAAGCCAGCTGTATTTACTGGACAAAAGTCATTCCTGGGGAAACAAATCCTGATAATTCCTTAGAGGAATAGAAGAGGCCTCCAACGTTCCTTTTTTTCATTGCTTGGAGCGCATGAAAGGAAATCCATATAATATAATATATCTTGTATAGGGAGAGGAGGTGGGTATTGACCTTTTGGAGATTTCAAGTTCTCGGGGATACTTCCTTAGGCAATGAATTCCCGAGTGAATTCCAGAGCTTTTTCGTTTTATAGACAAAGAGTTAGTGAGTGTGGCATCACCCACCAGGCGAATGGCCCTTCTTTGGATGAAATCTAAGAGCATCAGCGTATGTTTGGGCGCTGAACACCATATGTAGGAACAGTATTCTAGAATAGGCCGTATCTGTGCTGTTGAGGTGTGAATTGTAGCCTTTCGCACGGAACAAAAATCCGAGTGTTTGTGAAACATCCTTCTCGATGAATCGGTGATGACAATCCCATGGAAGAGAATTGCTGATGAAAATACCGAGCATATATACCGGGTGGCTACGGAAGTCGTATTGCTTACGGAATATCTGAGTTATTGTATGAAGTAGGTTTGTGAAATTTGAAGCTTCGATATAATGACATAAGAGCTAGAATTTGAGCATATTGACATGTCGAAGTTAACTTCCGGTCTGACCGGAAGTTACATCAATTTTCTTATTTTAAATGGAAACCCTATTTTTTTTTCTTTTCGCTTTATTCAGCATTCAATTCCCTTTCTAATGACCTATCACAAGTTGATATCTGATCAGGAACTAGATCAGAAAAAAATTATTATTGAAATTCACCGAGTAGGCCGTGGAAGCAAAATGAAAGCCAAAAATTGAAAAGTTGGCTATGGAAACCATACGTCACTTGATAACAGTTGCTACTACTGTGATATTTCATTTTCATTCGTCGGCGTTATAAAAAGCCGCAAAAAAAAATATTGGAAAAATTGGGAAAAAAACAATACTCTGTAGGTCCATAACTTTAATAGGAACGTACAACTTTTTCTTGCCTGTACTATTCAGCATAACCATTCCTTCCTAATGATATAATAGAAAGTAATTTTTTGAAATGAAATACCAAAAAAATCCAATTATTATTCTACTCGGTGAATTTCAATAATAATTTTTTTCTGATCTAGTTTCTGGTTAGATACCAACTTGTGATATGTCATTAGAAAGGGAATTGAATGCTGAATAAAGTGAAAAGAAAAAAAATAGGGTTTCCATTTAAAATAAGAAAGTTGATGTTACTTCCGGTCAGACCGGAAGTTAACTTCGACATGTCAATATGCTCAAATTCTAGCTCTTAGGTCCTTATATCGAAGCTCCAAATTTCATAAATCTACTTCATACAATAACTGAGATATTCCGTAGGCAATACTTTCGTAGCCACCCGGTATAGTGGACTTGGTGAGAATAGTGGTACCAGAGTACCAGACATTGATATATCAGGCAAACTGAGTTCCTCCTTCCCAAGAAATGTGAATCATTGGTAATCAATAAGCTTGATGGCTTTTCATGGAATGGATTTCAGCAAGAATGTGTTTTTTGAAGCTGATTCCCAGACATACGAACAGAATACTCTGAAAATAGTTGAAAATAATGGCGACCGTTGAAAATGATTTGTGGTGTTGAGTTAGCAAGAATCCGGTTGACATGTTGAAGAAAACCAATTATTATTAAATTTTCGACGTTTCGAAACTTCATTGTTTCATCTTCAGGACAATTTGTTCACTTCTTCGTGTTCGTGTCTGATGTGTTAAGGTCTTTCATGAACCTGTGTATACGTATTTATACTTTATGTCGATTTTATTTATTTCGCCATTTTTAAACCCGGAAAGCTACCCTCAATTGTCCTGAAGATGAAACAATGAAGTTTTGAACCGTCGACAATTTAACAATTGGTTTTCTCGAGGGTTTTCTGCAACATTTCGGTCGAATTCTTGCTAACTCAACACCAGAAAACTCTGAAGATGAAATTGGGCTTGATAAGTTGTTGTTCGAGTATTTGGAGGATTCTAATCTGATGAATAATTTACTAAAGAGACTCAAGAAGGATGATAACCACTAATACTAGCGGTTTAGTCGGAGATTAAGTGGCAATTCATTAGATCTGGCAAATCTGTATTCAGATGTCTCGTGACGTACTCGTACGTTCAGTTTCTTTGTGATCAGGTTTTACTGAAGTCAGACAAAGACAGACCACATAATAAGAAGGAAAACCCTTGACCTGTTGCGCCTGTAGAATGCAAGGTAGCACAGTGGTAATGAGGAGTGAGTCAACGAACTGAAAATATCGGTCATTATTAGTCATTAAAAGAAGCAAAAAGAAGCAAACAGAAGTGTTTTGTTAGAGATGGATTAGGTTGCTGTTCGGAGGGTAGAAGAGAAAATTGGATACTAAAGAAGCTAGCAAAGCCACTTTCGAATTTCAACATGAGACACATCTCATAATTTTAGGCTCATTTTAGGCTAATTTATCACCCCATTCCCGAATTTTTTGCTCCTCCCTATCATAGAAAAATCTGTGGCTTTGCTAGCTTCGGCCGAACTCAGCAAAGCCATTTTTGAAAAACAATATTTTTTTAATATCTGATATAGTGAGAATGTAGTGGTCATTTTAGGCTAATTTATTACCCTATTCCCAATTTTCTTGCTCCTCTCTATCATAGAAAAATCTGTGGCTTTGCTAGCTTCGGACGAACTCAGCAGAGCCATTTTTGAAAACATAGATTTTACACTGATTTGATATATTGAGATTAAAGGGCTAATTTTAGGCTAATTAATTACCCTATTTTCGTATTTTTAACACAACGTTTCAAACAGAAAAAATACAAGACAATTTGTCGAAATATGCCTCATCATTCACTGTACATTATGTATTTCTATCAAAAGCATATTTTATGAAGATTTCATGGGGCAAAGTGTTCGTATTGATTGTAAGCTTGAAAACTATCACATTTTGGAATTTTTTGCTACAATTTTTTTAAAAGAAACCTGTGGCTTTGCTGGCTTCGGGCGAACTCAGCAGAGCCATTTTTTAAAATAATATATTTTTCACTGATTTGATATATCCATATTGGAGAGCTAATTTTAGGCTAATTAATCACCCTATTTTCGAATTTCTTGCTCGATGTTTCAAACTAAAAAAAAACCGAAACGATTCGTCGAAATACGCGTTTATTCACTATACATCATGCATATTTATCAAAAGCATATTTTATGGCGAAGTTTCAAGACAAAGTGTTAGTATTGATTATAAGCTCAATAACTATTGCATTTTGGAATTTTTTGCTGCATATTTTTCAAAACAAACCTGTGGCTTTGCTGGCTTCGGGCGAACTCAGCAGAGCCATTTTTGAAAATATTATATTTTTCACCGATTTGATATATCGGTATTGAAAGGCCAATTTTAGGCTAATTAATTACCCTATTTTCGAATTTTTTGCTCGATGTTTCAAGCAAAAATAAAACCGAAACGATTCGTCGAAATACTCGTTTATTCACTATACATCATGCATTTCTATCAGAAGCATATCTTATGACAATTTCTCAATCCAAAAATGTTAGTATTGATTGTAGGCTCAATCACTATTCCATTTTGAAATATTTTTCTGCATATTTTTTTAAAGAAACCTGTGGCTTTGCTAGCTTCAAGTCAATGCTTCAAGCGAACTCAGCATATGCTGGCTTCTTTAGGCCAGCAAACAAACCGACAGGTTTGTTATAAAAAATATGTAGCAAAAAAATACAAAATGGGATAGTCATCAAGCTTACAATCAATAATAACACTTTTCCTCATGAAATCGTCATAAAATATGCTTTTGATAGAAATACATAATGTACAGTGAATGACGCGTATATATTTCGACAAATTGTCTTGTATTTTTTTTTTGTTTGAAACGTCGAGCAAAAAATTCGAAAATAGGGTAAATAATTAGCCTGAAATTAGCCTCT